TCTAGTTTAGCTTTTAAGGCTAACACCGTGGGTAATCCTGAGGAGATGCAGGAAACCTGTAAAGAGAGTGAGATCAAGTGGCCACAGCACTGTGGGAGACCCAGAAGAATACACTTGTGAGCTTTGTCCAGAAATTTTAAGAGGCATCAAAATAACACTCTTGTTCGCTCTTTAGACTAAATGACTTATTATTCAAAAATCTATCAATAAACTGAGTGACGTGCACGCTAAGTTCCATGGAAATCTACAATATTTTTCTATTACTGCATATTTATTTTTTTAAATTAGAATATTTCTGCAATTTGACAGATTAATTAGATTACTTATTAAACAAGTTTTGAAATTTACAGTCAAATTGGCTAGATGTGACCGTAAGTTCTATTCTGACAGTTTCTTCTGTCGCACTTCTCGCTTGAGGAACTCTCTTCCGGTTCCATGTTTTCCAGCAAAAATTGATCTTCATAAATTTAAATGTAATGTCAGTTGTTATCTACTGTCTTTCTGACTACTCTTCTATTGTTGTCGCGCCTTAATAAGGTTCCTTTTTTTTTTTTTTTTACTTATTGTTCACTCGGTAGACCTTTGTGTCTTAGTGGCTTTACTGCGTTGCATGGGGTGAAATGATAAAAAAATAAAGGCGTCGAAGATTACAGTTATTTCTTATATCAAATCTCTGTAATTTACATTTTAAATCTTTTCCAAATATTATTGATTTTTCAAATTTTATTTCATTTATTTATTTTATTAATTTTTAAACCTTATTGTTGCAAATTGAAAACATGCTTTCGCACGATCACCAATGTTTAACAAATCTGGATAGTACTTACATCGGTAACCATTTGGGAATACCAAGTGCTCTAAGCTTGGATATGCGGATGGTGCAATTCATAATGGCTCAGAATTGGAAATCGGTGAGCCGAGTTCTAATTCAGTGTCGTGTTTGTTATATTAACTTATGCCCAAATACGCGTGAGAAATGTATGGCTCTAACTCTTCTCTTCCTAGCTATGGATTAATTTGTAAGACTATTATCAGAAAATCATTATTATCTCCAAAGAACAATCTTACAATCTAAAAATAGTCACTGGATTGAAATAACCCGCAAAAGGTTGATAAGTCATAAAAACAGATCAATCAATATTAATTATTAAATTATAAAAAAAAATGCTTCGAATAACCGTACGATTTCTAAGTAGCAAGTTTGACATGGTAACGATTTTTGATCAATTTTTCAGTTGATCTGATGATGTTCTTACTGAACGAAAAGTTAACAGAAGAAAAAGTGTTAAATTTCCATCTGGTTTTTATATATCCCATTTTACATGCTTTGTTCGGATATTTCATGTCAGAAGTTGTATCAATTATTTTCAGTGGATTAAATGGACATTGAAATAAATAATTTTGCTTATTTTTATCAAGATGAACTAAACTTGTTTGATTTTAGGTCAATAAAGAAACAGAAAAACAAATAGTTTGCAAAAGTCATACAGGAAAAGTAGAAACTAGTTTGGTGATGTGACAGAATAAATGGACACGAGTAGAATTCAAAATCTGCTATTGGTTCGGTAAATGTTAACAAGCAAACGGCTTCTCGGCCATTTTCCATACACTTTAATCAATGCCGACATCTTGAGTGCAGTTGGAAAAAAGGTTTTATTAGCGATGGTTTTGTTCGTTGCATAAAGCTAAGACAGTAAAAGTGAGAAAAGATAAAATAGAGGTTGGAGGATGCATTGATAATAAAAGAGGGAAAAAAAGTGAAATGAAGGAGAATTGTTTGGTAGAAAGTTGAGAGAAAAGCAAGAAAATAATGTTTATTAGAGCGAATTGTCATGTGACTATGATCAATGCAAGGAAGTGGTGGTGGAGGTAATGATAGGGTCACTTATGTCAAAGTTCCATCGTCAACAAGTGAAACGTGTACAAATGATTCTAATAGAAACACTGGGAAAGGCGAGAAAATCTTCCTCCACAAAATCAAGTAAAATGGTGAGAAATCTAATGTTGATTATACATTTCGGCTGATAAGTCCCCTTTTTTAATACTGCGAATGAACAAAGCATCAAGGAACGACAATCAATCATTTATTGGCTTTAACCATAAATTTGTCTATGCATCAAGAGAAAATATATATATATATATATACATATATATATATATATATATTTATATGTAAAAGTGGATAACCAGCGGTGACAATCTGGTTCATGCTTAAACGCAATCTTCAGGCTATTTGTGTTGTCTTTTGGTCCGACTGTTTATATATGCTGTTCAATTGTGCATTATGGGTATAAGGCAAAAACATTGCATGAAGATTGTGTTTAAGAATGAAGCAGTTGCCGCTGCGTGTTGAACTCAATGTCCCTCTTTTTATATTTACATATGGTGTATCGCTGATATTGAGCAGTTTAACCCATTTATATATATATATATATATATATATATATATATATATATATATATATATATATATAAAAAAAGAAAGATGTATTATTATTAAGTAATGTTTTATCTTAAAATTTCACTTTACTATTTCGATCAGTGTATTTTGCCGTGAAAGGTTAATTTAAGGGGGAAATTATGTTGAAAAAAAAGCAATTATTTGAATTACCAAAATTAATAAGAAAAAAAAAACTTTTCAATACAAGTTTTACTTTACTCAACAATGTCCATTTAATATTTGCAAAGAAATACAATACTAATAATGATCTAATATTAATTTAATAATAATAATGAAAGCATTTTATATAAATCGAAAACATATGAATAGAGTAACGTCATTCGTTTTAAAACTACAATTTGAATGTTTTCTTCGGTAAAATCCTGTGGAAGTTAGTAACAATTTGATTTAATATTTCAAATCTGATAAATAAGAGGAGAGAAAACAGATTTACGATTTAGTCTTCTGTAAATGACCATAGGGATAAACAAGTCTGAGTTGATATAAGCTTTTTATCGTAAGTTTTCTAAACTTAATATGAAAAAAGTATTGACAATAAATGCAATTGCAATTACGTAATGAAAGACTATCTCTGCAAGATGGTCGCAAAAAATAGTTTTGAAAATGAGACATTTCCGTTTCAAATATGATTTCGTTTCTTTCAAAACAAGATCAGCAATTACTGAATTAATAAAAGAAAGAAATACCCTCTCACACGAAAGTAGATAGACAGCTTTTCCTCAAAATTGTGATAGAATATTTATATATATCAGGTATTTGAACTCAAAACCGCACTACATTGGCTGCTTCTGTAAAATCATAATTGGTAACTGGCAATCCTTATTGTGAAGTCAAACATATTTTTCTGTTGCAATTGCTTGGGGTCCGCTTACCATCGTGTTTTGAATGAGAGACCGTGCTTTGTGCAAGAGGTGCGAGAGTAAATGAATATTTATCCCAAAAACCACTCAAATGGAAGGCACAAGGCAGATTTCAATGAGGGGTTTTCACGTGACCAGAGTCTAAACATAGTCGTGCCCTATCGGCACATTCCATTTTGGTGACAGCTGAGGATCTAGTTAAGAAGAATTATTGCCTGGAGTAGATGAACTCTCTAAAAATAGATTTAAAGTGTTAACGTTCATCTCTCAGGTTAAAAAGTCGAGATATTTATATATTTAGGAAGGGAACCTCGACGTGGTGTAATGGTTAGAAATCTTGTCTTGCTAGATCAATTACGACTAAGTAGTGAGTTCGATCCTCACTGGGTGCCCCATACTTTCGGCCTTATGGCACATCTAAGCCAGGCTTAGAAAATCCGTATAATGCATAGTTGGATACCGATTTCTTGGACCAGCGGCTCGAGTGAAAACATTCGGGTCTCCACATTAAAAACTGACCTTGTATCACAACCTGACTCAGTGGGGGGTCAAGTAAATATACATGGTTAGAAAGCTTGTCTTGCTAGATCAATTACGACTAAGTAGTGAATTCGAATCTCACAGGGTGCCCCATACTTTCGGCCTTGTGCCACATCTAAGCCGGGCTTAGAAATTCCATATAATGTAGAGTTGGATACCGATTTTTTAGACCAGCTCTGACTAGCTTGGACACGCTATGACTAGCTAATACCAGCGGCCCGAGTGAAAACACTCGGGTCTCCACGTTAAAAACTGACATTGTGTCACAACCTGACTCAGTCGGGAGGTGGGGGTCAAGTAGATATACATGGTTAGAAAGAGTGTCTTGCTTGATCAATTACGACTGAGTAGTGAGTTCGATCCTCACTGGGTGCCCCATACTTTCGGCCTTGTGCTACATCTAAGCCGGGCTTAGAAAATCATTATTTATATAGGTGAATTTCGCTACTTTGTACGGGAAGGGTACAAGGACTGGTTCCAAGACTGGAAAAAAACAATAAATAGGAAATGAATATGCTTTTTTTGAGATAAAATATTTTTCTTGTCTAACATGTACTTGGGAAAGTGAAGTAACATCAAGCGTTTTGATGAGTGGTTTATATAGAAAATATTAACACACTAAAATTAGTTAGCATCATTTTAACAGCGATGATTTTATGGTGGATTCATTTTTGAATACTATCGTATAGCGAGTGAGATTTCGTCAAGCGCGCAGTAATCCAAAGTTTCTTTTTTTTAACTATTATTACACGTCATTAAATAAAAGTTTAGTCTAAACCCCTAAAAACGGACTGAAATCTTTCAAAAGTATTCCGAAGGTCATGAGTGCGTGGCAACCATAAATAACTCCTACTGAAACTCGAACTCTGATCGTTTTTTTCATTTTCCAAATTAATAACTGTTACGTCACCTTGTCTCTCTCCAAGTGTAGATTAGCCAAAACAGAAAACGTAAACAACTCGAACGCTATTGTGAGTAAGGATAAGCATGTCCGTTGTGGTCAGGGTCCCAAATAAGCATATCTGATAAGAACTGTATTGTTGGTAGCTCCGTCAATCATATCCTTTACGATAAAAATTTAAGGTTATGGTCTCGAGGGTAAAAATGAAAACGCAAACAGTAGCAAATAAAAGATGGCGTTAGTAGCCGTTTCTACAATCCAAACAACGGAGAGCGGCTGGTGTATCTAACGGTATGCAAAACGGGCAAATGGGGTTTATAGCGTGAAACCGGCAGATAAGAGGGTGAAGGATGTCGAATAAAAGATGTTTAAGAAGAAGAAGAAATAAAAAAAAAACAAATATCGGTTTGAATAATGAAAAAGCAATGAATAAGAGCCCGAGGAAAGTTCGCCAGTAAAGAGAAAGAAAAAGAATGGAGATTATTTTTTCTGCGTTGTGTTGTGTTATGCCGACAATAGAAGGCCCAGCTGATAGGTGGAGGAGCCTGCGGCTGTAAACACCCGAATAGTCGAGAGGGAGAAAATCAGGGGGTAGTGAGGAAACAAGGGCAGCTTTTGGAATTGAAGCTGGAGATCGAGTATTGGGACATCAAAGACCAGAAGAGTAGGGGATTTGAGAGAATAAGCGAGCTAAAAAAAATTAAATATATATATATATATATATATATATATATATATATATATATATATATATATATATATATATATATATATATATGTATTTGTGTATGTTGATAATAGTCGGGATGGTAATATAAGTAAACTGTGAGAGGGAGATAGAGAGGGATATGGAAAACAAAGGGAGAAGGTTGTAGATAAAGACAGACTTAAAAGCAATAAGCAAGTAAAGAGCGATAAAAAAAAAGAAAAAAAGTGGGAACAAATCGGAAGCAAAAAGAAACAAACTGGCTAGCAATGGAGAAAAAGACAAAGCAAGAAGAGGGGCAAGAAAGGACGGTGAAGGACCAAGCAGTACTAGAAACCGCCCAAGCGTGATAAAACAACAACAAAAAAATAAATTAAAATAAAACGCGCTCCTTCGTATTATGAAAGAGGATCAGGTACCGGTGAATAGCGTTTAAAGACACGACATCCCCACCGACCGCTACTAGACTCTCATTCGACCGTTTGCTTCTATACACGAAGGACCGGGTCTTTGATTTTGAACAGTCCTTCACAAGAGCCGATCCCATAGCAAGATGTATACGGTTTGAGCTTAAAGTATATTTTTCAGCTTTTCGAGTTGTTACAAACATAAGAGATTCTAGCTAACAGGAAGGAAGATGTGCTTATTTGATGGAATTGTGAACGAGAATGAATGTAAGTAGCAGTGAATAAAGAACAAAAGAAAGAAAAAGCAGCTGATGGCTGACGATTTTCTAACCCAATAAATTGACAGTGAAAACCCGAACAGACGAGATGACTGGAATCTAGTTGAAAAAAGCGGCTGAATGATTAAGAAACAACGAGGATGAGAGAAGAGTTATTCACGTCTCGAGTAACATGAAGTAGGAGAAAATTTTAAAGCGGGAAAAACGTTTTAAAAAAGAGTAATAACAGCTTTATCTAAACTATTGTTTACTCGAAGCAAAGCCTTTGAATCAATTAAGCTGGAGAGTTACAGTGATGAAGACAAACATAGTTGTCTCCCCTCCGAACTACACAACTATAAAAGAAATTATCAAACCTCACTCATGGGCCGTAGCCAAATTTCTTTTAATAAAGCTTATCTACAAGTTTAAAAGAATTTCTTTACTGTTACTAATTGAGATTGTGCTTTTTTGTTTTGTTTTTTAATAATTTCACACGAAGCATGGCGATAATGCCACTAAAACGCAAGAGGCTACTGGGAGTGAAAAGAATGGAAATACTTTAGAAGGAACCGGCAACCCAATCCTAAACAGGTAAAAATTTTATTCCTGTTCAAATGACTGGGGAGGAGTCTGAACCGGGTAATAGGCGAATCTATCTAGTCCTATTCAGAAGAAAAAATAAATAAATAGTAAGTACAATTTCAAAGTTAAGGCGGAGACGTTAGAAGTTTAATGCTGAAGTAGTCGTTATGGTTGGTTGTAAAACACGATCCACTGAGACCACGCTTCCTTGAGTTTAGAAAGAGACAGGGAGATGTCGCTTAAAGAGAAATAGATAGGCACACAAACTTGTTGGGGCGGGGACAGAATTCTTTGAGGCTGATATAAAGATGGAAGAATGAAATGGACAATAGTAATAAGAATGCTAATGGCTTGTTAACCTTAACATCTCTTCAAAACGAAACTGCGCTCTTTTATTCGTCTAAGAAAGAAAAAAAAAACTTTTTTATCCACACTGGCTGATGCCAACCCCCAGTGGAGCAACTTGCTGTGGTTTCACGTTTTCCACTGATATTAATTGGAACGGTTATAGAGAATCAATTACGAAGTTTGCTGCTCGGAATGTTAGTTCACAATGTTGTGCTGGACATGTGTACTTGTCAGAATCTATCTTACATATTTATAAGTCTAATATTATTCCGTGAAACGAATGGCGAACGGTAATAATGGCGCAAATAATAATGGCACAGTAATATGGCACAAGTGAAAAAAATAGGAAAAAATGGTACAAGAGAAAAAATAGGAAAAAATGGTATAAAAGAAAAAATAGGAAAAAATGGTATAAGTGAAAAAATAGGAAAAATGGCACAAGTGGAAAAATAGGAAAAAATGGCACAAGTGGAAAAATAGGAAAAAATGGCACAAGTGGAAAAATAGGAAAAATGGCACAAGTGGAAAAATAGGAAAAAATGGCACAAGTGGAAAAATAGGAAAAAATGGCACAAGTGGAAAAATAGGAAAAAATGGCACAAGTGGAAAACAGATTCTTTCAACAGCTTACAATTAAACACGAGTAGTTGTTTAATTTTAAGCTATTAAAAAGTTAAATTTCTTAAGATTCTAGTTATTTTTAATTGTGTTTTTAAAGGTTGGTCTAAAACGGTGTGCTCATGTATAAATATATTTGAATTTATTATAATTGTTTTTTTCATAAATTTTAAACGTATAAATGTATTTACATTGTTCGGACTGTTGTCCGCATCTTTACTACCATATTCACGTTTCGGTCGTTGTACGCTCCGGACTTCGTCAGGTATTTGGAATTTCAAACTGAACCCTTTATTTTATGTACCAAGTCAATATACCCCGGTGGACGAAAGAAAGGGCTCAGTTCGAAATTCCAATCACCTGAAGAAGGTTGGAGCGTACAACGAACAAAACATTGTGAATATGGCAATAAAGATGAGTCCGAACAATGTAAATAATTACAATACCTCATCTCAGAAATATAGACAGGTATAAATATATATTAACAAATGGAGGTAAAACAATTCTACTTTTTTGCTAATATTAAAAGAATATATAAAGGTTATATACGATATACCGTATTTTCCAGTTCACAAGGCGCATTTTTTCCCTAAAAACTACCCTGAAAAATACGTGGCGTCTTTGAAGACGAATGTAAGGCCTAGCTTCAAATATGCTTGTACAGTCACTTAATTTGTTGGGTCATTACACTATAATGTTAGCTATCTATTTAATTCAGCCTTTTATATGATTTAACCCTAGTAATTAGTTGTTACAAGTATTTCCAAGACTATAAACCTTCCAGGAGCTGAGCCACATGCTTAAATATGCTCTGTTTACTGGTAGCGGCGGAAGCCTATCTGCACTTGACTAGTATGTCATTGCCATACAAATAAAATCGAACAAGTGATTAATGTAAACAATATGTGGCGCCAGTATGTTAGGGATGCATGGTGAATGTGTTGTATGAGAATGACTTTTGTTTTTCTTAGAAATTTCTTTCCATTATTAGGGTGCGTCTTTCAAGCCGCAGCTGGAAAATACAGTATGTACTTTTAAAATTAAATTTCATTCAAAATCAATTTTTTTTGTTAATAATGTATATTTCAATAAGCTTCTTTTTTCTTATTTTTCCACTTGTGCCATTTTTTCTTTTTTTTTTTACTACTTGTGCCATTTTTTCTTTCTTTTACCAATTGTGCCATTTTTCTTTTTTATCACTTGTGCTATATTTCTTTTTTTTTTTTTCCAGTTGTGTCATTTTCTTCTTTATTTCTACTTGTGCCATATCGACCGGTGCCATTTTCCCGTGCTATTAATACCTGTACAATTATTACCTAATTTCGCTTCGAATATTACTGGCACATTCGGTCTTGTGCTTCTGCTATATATCTAGAGATTATTGAAAAAAAAAATCCAAATGAAATCTGAAAAGTTATTGGTATTGTAACGTATATTCTCTGTGCCTATTCTATAAATATTTTCACGGTAATTGTTCTGATGAGCTTTCCTCTTTGGTATCTAAACGTAACAGAAAAAAAGAAAGATAAATAAACGAAGAGAGAAAAGAAGAATCTAAAGGAAATAGAAATCTATATGTCAATAGAATGTTAAACTGGGAACTACAAGCAATCCGTAAATAAAAGATGGCAAGACAAAAAGAGAAAGAGCAAGCAAATGTTGAAAAAAAAAATAGAACGAAGAAGAGGTGGCTGAACATGAAGACGAAGGTTTGGTAGGGGAGTACAAATATACTAAAATAATGACAATTGAATTGAAAGTTTCGCGTTCTTGCTTACGTTATCCTATTTTTAATGACCTATTTTTTTTTTTTTTTTTTTTTTTAAATCACACTCACTTCCGAGCGGACCAATCAGAAATGTGTTTTATTTGATAGGGCAGTCACGCTAGCTAGCCGAGAAACCCGCTGCTCTCCACAGGAGAAGAGCAAGGAGGAGAGAAAAAAAATAAAAATAATAATAAAAAATCCACGCTTTTAATTCTCTAATATATCAGGATTCTTAACAAGTGTTTTATAAGTCGGTCAGAAGCAAGCAGAATAATAATCGAGCCAAACAAATCAATATAAATCAAGAAAATCGTAACGCGCCTTGTAAGCCGAGACGGTGAAGCAGTTATAACTTTAATGTCGGAGCTTTGCTGGTTCAGCTCGATGGCTGAAGCAGTGTAAAGGTGGGTTAAAGGTATGTCGTCCTTTCAAAGTTTTCTATAAATTCTTAGATCTCAACAAAATGAGGGGGCATTTGTAAATCATTTCTTCTATGAGACGTAACCCTTCAGAACATGGGCATTAATGGCTCTCCACAATTTCCTCTGTTTTGTAGCACTTTTTGTCCTGCCAACCATTTAGACAAGTTCGTTATACACTGCTTTAGCCTTTCCTACTGTCCTTCAGTATGCCCTTTGAGTGCCATATTTTCCACGCCGTCTTTTCTTATTATATCTCCCAGCAATTTTAGTTATCTTTCTGATGTTAAGTATAAATGTCCTTTTGTTTTCATTTTCTCTAAAACTTTGTCATTGCTCACATGTTCAGTCCATGGTATTCTCAGCATCCTACTGTCTGTTGCCGCAAGTCTCTTCATCTGTGAGGAAATTTGTCCAGCATCCTCGATCATATAGGAAAGACTGATATTACCTAAGAGCTAAGTACTTTTTTCTTTGTTTCTAATGAAATTGTGTTGCTTATTCTCACTTATCTGTCAATTACAATCTTCAAAAAATTAAATACAATGTCAATCGTCATCTGTTGTCTCCGAGAATCCGGTTCTTTTTATTGTCCTTTCTCCTCAGTAATATCCAGTCTCAGTAACCCCTTGCGTCTTAGGGGTTTCCTCTCCTTGTATTGGGGGAAATGGGTGAAAATGATTTAAAATAAATAAAAAAAATAACATCAGGTTTCTTCAATATCTGTCTATATTTCTGAGATGTATTATGTACACTATTTACATTATTCGGACTATTGTTCTCATCTTTGTTGCCATATTTGTCACAACGTTTCGGCCGTTGTACGCTCCGGCCTTCTTCAGGTGGTTGGAATGTCGAACTGAACCTTTTATTTCGCTCACTGGGATAGACTGTTCTAGTTCCTCAAGGACACAGTGGATACAGGCGTTGGTTAGATCCAGTGACGGGACCCAAACAATGTAAGTTCAATACCTGGTTATGGCGGTGAAGAACTTGGAAAGGGGAAGTAACAAGAGGTAACTGATAACTGACATCCATTACTCACGCCCCTGGAACAAGAACAATCTACCCCAGTTAGAGAAATAAAGGGTTCATTTCGATATTTCAGCCACCTGAAGAAATCTGGAGCGTAAACGGTCGAAACG